CCCATTCCCTGTCCCCCTGGGGGGAGGAGGTGGATATTGGGAGAGAAGTTAAGCCCGGGAAGAAGGGAGGGGTGGGGGAAGGTGTTTTAAGATTTGTTTTTACTTCTCATTATCCTCGTCTGATTGGTAATAAATTAAAATTTGGGTTTTCCCCCAAGTCGAGTCTGTTTTGCCCGTGCCAGTAATTGGTGAGTGATCTCTCTCTGTCCTTATCTTGACCCAGGAGCCTTTCACTATATTTTTCTTCCCCCTGCCCAGTTGAGGAGGGGGAGTGATAGAGTGGGCTTTGGTGGGCATCTGGCACCCAGCCAGGGTCAAGCCACCTCAAATTGTGGTCGTTAATCGCAACGCACACTCAAGTGAACACCTGCTTTGTTCTGAGCTTCTGCATTTGAATCCCCTGAAATCTATCAGAGGCCACCCAGCAGGGTAGAAGCCACTCCAGAGACCAGGTCGAGGTTGGTCAGACTGTTTGGTTCCACTCCTGAGAGCGTGCTGGAACGCAGAGAGGCCTGTCCCCTGAGAGGTCATCGTCTGAGACACTAACTCGTGAGGTTTACCATGCAACTCACCCAGCGACTGACACAAGCAAACAAAATTACCTAGAAAGCGTCTGACACAGAAACATCTAAAAAAACTTCCTTGCTTTCTTGAAAGGCTCAGTAACAACACAACATTCAGTACAGGGATTATTTAGCACCCAGCCTTCACTGACACATTCTACATAATCAAAATTAGCAACAAGATGTGGAAGAAGAGCTTGCAAGGTTGAACGAATGAGGTCTCAAACATTTTCCTCAGAAACCACACAAAACCCCAAACCAAAGACCCCTAGAAAATGTTAACAGTATCCTAAAGTAGAACATCTCTTCTTAAATCTGCTAAGATTCCACAAGTTGGATTAAGTAAAACCAAAATAGCAAAGAATTCAGTAAAACCTACACTTAAAATAAGCTTCAATGCCTAACCTACAGTTTTCATAGTGTAACTACATGCACACTAAAGGGCATCAGCTACAAACCACACCTCACCACAGCCCGACTGACATAAATCTGCAAAAGGTGAAACCTGACATATTTACACACACCTTTACATGTTTACATCTGCAAGTTTACATGTGGTCCACATGCTCTCTTTGAGCGTGGCCTATGCTTCTGTCAGACTCTAGAGTCATACGGCAGTCCTTGTCCATGGACTGGTGCACAAAGCTATTCATTTTCCATATGAGGAAGAACTTGAACTACTGCTGGTGAACACTACTTCAAAGGACAGCAGGCAGTTTGCTCACACAAGTGGTTTTAAAAAAAAAAACAGGTTACTTTAAACAAACCATCGTGCAGATTATATAAAATCTTTGGTTAATGGTAAAGATTTCTGAACACGTGACATCTGGAATACCTACTTGTCCTCAGACTTCTTTTTCTTTGCGTCAGTGTAAACACTTACCTGGTTTTGGCTTTCAGATGTTAACCTGACTTGCCTGCAAACCACGCCAAGGGCTAAACCTCCATTTTGACAGTTACATTTTTAAGTTATCTGAGACTGCCCAGACTATACTTCAGCAACACCTGGCTAAAGCATGAAGCCAAAAGAAATGTCAGCGATGCCAGCTCCTTTGACAGAAGGTTATATACCTCAGCAATGCACAGTCTTGACTAAACTCTAGTATGGAACCACAGACAATTTGGACTACGCTGGGAACTATACTGACAATGGGTATTGCTGGGCTTTTCCTTCCATTCACCCCTACAAGTGTCTTTAAAAGTGTCCCATACATGAAATTGTAACACTTTTGCACAAAATCTGATTCAAATCCGTAAGAATTGCTAAGGTTACATCTTCAACTCACTGAGAACTTAAGGTGTACATTAGTACACGTTTTAGCATAGTAATACCTGAGACACTATTTCAATATATGAGGGCTTGAAGCCTGTGCTTTATTATCTGGATTAGTTAGTTACTAATAGGCTAATTTTAAGGTTTTAGATGTTACCCACAAAGTTTTAAATAGTCTGCGAATACCTAGTAGATTATACAGCTTTAATCAGCAGTTTGCAGCATGAATTGCATAATGATGACTTATAGACAGCTAACTATTCTTTGTTAGAAATTCATGCCTGCTTTTGGATCTTGTTTCCCAACTTGTTTCAAAACAAACAGAGCTGTTAAACATCAGAGATTATATTTTTGTTCCTTACAAAGATAGAAAAATTGTGTGAAGGACAGATACAAGTAGAAACGATGCCAAGGAATTACATCTTCACCATATTTTTGCTGTTGCTTCTTTTGTAACTTGGGAAACATGCTACATGCTGTTTTTAAAGTGTCTGTAAGAAGATGATTTTTAAGAAGTACCCAGCATCTTCAATACATACACAAAAATAGTGAGAACGCAGAATTTAAAAATGAAGAGATAGAAAGGTAGTGAAGGAATACAAAATGATGGAAGAGCAGCTGTTCTTATTTTCAAGACTATAAAGTAATTTTAGAGGCAACACATTAAATAAACTATCAAGAGGCAGAATTCCACGTATGAAACGCAGCATGTAAAGAAATACACTCACGATCTTATCTGTGGCAAGTCTGTTTCTATTTTGTGACCCGTGTTTCTGAAAATCTGTATGGCTGCCTCAGCTACCTTATCATCTTCCATCCTGAGGCACTGCAGCAGAGACTCATAGGTCTCTGCAGAGTGGAACGAGGTAGGATGTGTAAAGGACAGAACCTGTAGATACACATTAAAACAAAGGTATATTTATTCATGGTAAATGAATCATCAGAAAAACAAAATTATGTCTGTTTATTAGCATTACCATCAACACAAATAGCTATTACACGCTCATATAAGATTACTGCATTCAATAACTGCGCCTTGGAGAAGGTGATATAGGCATTTTCAAATAAATTAATCTATGCTTTGTTCTTCAGGTTCTCCTCCAAATATTTTATAAAGTACTACATTATTTTAATATGTAAATATACTAAATGAACACTTATTCAAAAGTGTTCATTTATATTCCAATCTACTTAAATAAGCTTTTTTCTAACTTAACTGAAATCTTAATTTCTCCAGAATCTATAGTCCCTGAGCAGAAAAGAAATCAAGAAGGTTAAGATATCTACAAACAAAACATAGATTACTGTCATTTTAATGTAAAGCTAATGAAATATAACACATTCTGTTAAACAGGAGAAACGTCAAATAAGAAAACTAAGCATGCAGAGATTCAAGGCAGGACAAGAGAGAATAAAAGGTTATCCCAAAGCAAAACTATGTTAAGTATAGCGAAGTTTAGATAAAATAACGTAGGGAGAACAATGAAACAATGAGAAGTTACATGTATTTTGTGTATTCTTTAGATTTATCTTATCTTGGTTTCTTTGATCAGGGTTGCCTACTTGTGTGAGTATCAATGTGTGAAATAACATTCTCAAAGATATCCACGTCACAGCAACAAAATCTCCAACTTTGGCAGACTTCTTTTCTGAGCTACATTAGCAAACAGACATTACTTCCCTGCATACTTCTGTGTAACTATTTAGATGATGGTTGCCATTACCAAATTTGGTGTGATATGTCTCCATAAACTCCACCTCGTTCATTCATACTTCTGAGAAGTCTCACTCTAATTACATAACCTTCCCCTCCACTCCCTCCTATATTTCATACTGCCCTTTGTAACATCCTGAAAATAAAGTCTCATTAGTGAACTGCCAAATCCATCACAGATGTTTTCCAGGTATTTCAAACCTTTCTTTCTCCCCAGCCGTTTGTCATCACCACTGAGAACACAAGTTCCCCTGTCCCCTTTTTTCTCCTCTGTGTAACCCAGCTCTTGAGTTTATTGCTTGCTTTTCTTACGGTACCATACAGGCCCCAAAGAACATGCCCCTCCTAATTTCCCCATTTGTCTTTTTCTCACTGTACCTCTGCACCTTCTTCTATATGACTTCCCTAAGCAGAAAACAATTTCTGCTTTCATGTGTGTATTTCAGCTCTTGGCACCCTTTCCAAAACACTTCTTCCAAAAAAACATCTTTTATTATTCCTTTCTCAAGTGAGCACTAATAACCAAATACTTTCACACATTAATAAAGTATTTATCTAAATAATAATTATTAAAACCATATTAACATTAATTCATTAGTCATAACCACACTTTTGTCCCTTCCATTGCAAATTATAGCTGCATTAATGTAGATTACCTTGAGAAGTTCAAGTCCTGCACGAATAGCAGTATCAGGACTTACACCCTCCTCTTCATCATCAGCTGTCCCTTCTATGGATTTATTCATTAGTTTTACTAGTGCACTGAAATAAGAGATAGAAAAAGAAAAAAGCAAATGAATGTGACAATGTACAGTGTTAAAGGCTGAAGATACCAGCAAAATTACTTGGTTTTGACAATAAATAAAGTAGTAGTCCATTATGGGGGAGGTGTTGGGGTGCTTATTTTTTGGTTTTAGTTTTTGTAGGGGTTTGGCAGTTTTGTTGTCGTTTTTTCTTTTTTAATCAAGCTATTCCCTTATTCCTTTTCCTTCTGATTTAGCTTTCTGAAAAATTAATTCTTTAGGAAAAAAAACCCACAAAAAAACAACAAAAAAATCCCACCATGTTGGCAGCATTCAGATCAACACATAGTTTCATGAGTTTCAGAATGTAATCAGGTTGCCAGACAAGTCTCAAAAGAAATCCAAACATTTTTCTTACACAATCCCACAAAAACTAATTAATTCAACTGCTATACAGAAGACTGCTGCAGTTAACTATGTGAAAATTATGATAATAATTTTCACCTTAAGCCCCACAAATAGCAGTTTTCACTGGGAACAACTGCTATATTTTTAAAATAATTTGCAGACAGCACTGCAAAGAAGTATTAAAAAAAATAATTCTCTAGGCTGCTGGAAATTAAGACATCTACAGGAAATGTTGTTAGGTTTTTTGTTTGCTTTTTTGTTGTTTTTTTTAAGAAGCATATTTACTGCTATACCAGACTAATCTAAATCCCAAGGAAATCCTTTATTTGAATTATGTTTTAAAATTTATTTTAAATCACCTTTATAATCACTCATGTCTGATTATATGTATGATCTTTCAAACTTACCTAATGGCTTCTGAGTCGATATGTACAGGGGCAATTCTTTCCAAAAGGAATTTGACCATTTCCAGAAAAGGATTTGTTGGCTGCTTAGGATTTGCAAGTTTCCGGGCTATCTCTCTCTACAAGAATGTTAGATACAAACAAGAATTATACTCATTTTACTCACTTCTTAAGCATGCTGAATAAGCTAAATATAGCCACTTCTTTTAACCACAGGGATTGCCCATATAACCAGTGAAATATACTTGAAGGGGGGCTGCTGTCATCTCTAAATATTTCTTTATCCCATTATATTGAAAGCAGACATACTTTACCGAACTCTTTAAATGTAAGAGGCACATAGGTTTCTAGTGACAGTTCTTTAGAGTTTCTCATGGAACTGCAGGCCAGATACAAAACAGAATCCAGAGAGCTAAGTGCAACGTAGAAGGAACTTAAATATCTGTGTTGACAAGAGTAATCCAGAAATCTGTATGTAACCCTGTTGTATGTGTGACATTTCATAAGCAATGATGGAAAAACTGGACTAAAAGCTACACTACTGCAGATGTGCGGAAGCAGTACGCTACCTTGGCAACAACAGATGTTCAGACCCTATGTACTTGCTTATGAATGTTTTGGATCAAAAAAAAAAAAATCTTTCCCCTCTGAATGCCCCAAATGTCAAGAACATTAAATTCAGCTGCAAACCCAGCAGAAGATGGATAAGAAGGTATTTTTTGTTTTGAACAGAAGCCTAAAATTCTCTCAAATAAATGACCTTCCTGACCTTCCTTCTCCTAAAAGGTTGGATGATGCAGACCCTACAAACCAGGAAAATGTTCTGTTCTGTTAAATTATCTTCAGGAAGAGGGAAGAAATTTTCCTCTTGAAATTGCATCACTGCATTCCCAATGTGCAAAATTTACTGGTTTAGAAGGAGACATACTCTATACATTGAGTGGTTAGGACGTAATTCTGAAGGTCATTCCGTTCTCCTCCCTGGACAAATTCAGAGCCATGAGACAAAACCCAAGCAACCTATGTTTGTTTGGTGAAGCTCTCTATTCTGATTTCTGTCAATGAAACCACTTACTTTATTTTGGGACCATAATGAAAAAAAGAAATCTATGATTGTTGGCACAATCTGTAAATCCCTGGAAAAGTCCGATTTATTATTAAGGTGTGTATTTTCATCAAAGAGGTTAAACGAGAGAGAGATCAAAGTAACATTCTAGGAAGAAAAATAAATGAATAATATGCAGATGGTACAATATTTGGCTTTGGCTTGCAGGTACTCAGAATAGTTTTCATCGGTGTCACAAGACAGTTTAGGAACCTTAGTATAAAAGAGACACTTGAAAGAAAATATTCTTAAAAATTAAATTAGTCTTTTAGACTTTATGCTTGATGCTCAGAATCCCAGGAAGGAATAAAGCTAATGTTTTCTTAGGAAGCAAGACGACGATCATAAATTATATTCTCCATAATCTCCACAGGTTATCAAAGAAGGTATTTTATGAAAATCAGAAATATATAAAAATCGTGTTAAGGTACCAAAAGAGACAATTAACTCCAAATAACTGCTTTAAGCATGAATGTTTAAGGAATAAAAGTTTGCTTTTCCATTTCCTTACCACACAGACATCTGCCTGTTTACAAGAACACGTAGGGCTAATTAACAGTTCAAGCTGGGACCGAAGTTTCTCATCGTCACCCAGAACCTGATTGAATTTCTTCACAAAATCTTGTGCTTTTCCAGGATCTGGAAGGTTTTCTGTATGATTAAACACAATTTAAGATAAGATAAATTTGCCACTTCATTATGCCAAGATTCACATAAATACAATTTCCAGGAATGCTGTAATAACAGTTTATAGAACTTATTAATACTTACTTGCTATGGTCATCAGCTTTCCAAACATAGCTGCACTGTTTGCTTCTGACTGAGGACAACAGTAAAAGAACAAATAAACAAATAATCAATTTCTTCTTTATAAAATAAACCTTTAAGCTGATCTGTTAGTTCTTCTGCAGCACTATATTCTACTCTGGAATCTTATGTTCTATGTTTTTGTGTTAAGAATAAACACTAGAATAATATATCAGTGTCATTGGCAGCTACTACACACAGAAAAAGGGGGAAAACATTCTTGCAACATCAAAGAACTGCAAAAATTTGCTACTTCACATAAAAACCCCCAAATAAACAATTCCCCCAAGCCTACACCCAAACCAAAACCCCAAAACAATGCCCTTCTATTGAAAGTTTCTCCTAGTTTGGAGATATGCTTGTAAGTAAAACTCCAAAATAAACACTTATCTTCTGTTTTCAAACAAACAAACACAAACAATGACTTTATGTTACAACATATTCCATTCTCAAAATATGTTCTAAAATAAGAAGCAAAAAAGGTGTGTCGAAAGAAAACAAAAAACTTGGAAAATTTAAAAACTTTTTTCCAAAGTTTTAGTTTAGTTTCCAAACTAGTAATATAAAAAAAATGGTAAACATAAGGAGGCCCATATAACTTTAAGCATTACTGAAGGCAACTTTACTTATGAGAATGGAACATTGTCTACATAAGGAATCAACAGAATAATAAAGTCACACTGAACAAATAATATAGTATTAAAAAACCCCAGTAAATCACTCTAACAGGTCCATTGGATAAAGTATTAATATTTTCAAAATCGTACAGTGGGCTGCTTATGCAAGTCTAGTAATTCTCGTACGTGACTCCTTAGCATGTTCTGGCACTTCCACATCTCATTCAGTGCTCTGCAAAAGTACAAAACCAGAAAAGAAAATCTTACCAATTTGATCATGAGAAGAACATGCTGGATGTACTAGTAAACAAGATTGTTTATTTATTTTTCTTACAAGTGCAACATCTGCTCGGTACAATCAAAACCTACTAAGTTATAAAAATAACCATTCCAAACAAGGTGGAACCAATTTTCTCCTTTTACAAATGAGCTCTCTTATTATTCTACTTGGAACAATTTCACGTATGCAGGACAGCCAGAGTATATCTTACAACCACCCGAATTATCTTGAAAATAACATTTTCAACATAAAAAACAGGCCACTATCAACCAGAATTCAGTTATAGATATCTTCATCGTGGACCTTACTTGTGCATTTTTAATTCTGCTTTGTTCTCACTGAATGAAAATGAATGGATAAAACCACTCTTCTCAAATATCAAGGTATCTAATGGACACATAAGAGTTTGTATACAAAAGGGAAACATTTTGAAATACTACTTGCAAATAATGCTAAGCACTGATTACTTATATTTTTATTTAAATGTTGACAATACAAATAAGAGGATATAAATGTTGGAAAAGCCCAAGAAAGGAATCATTTGCTGAACACAAACTATACTCACTTGACAGCATTTGGATCCAAGCTAGCATACAAATAGTACAAGCACTTCATTCGCTCTTCTGTTTCCAAATTGTGTGGAACGAGATACTGAGCAAAGATTTTCTCTACTAGTAATCTGCAGGAAAGGAACAGATAAAAACTGTACATTTACAGAAGTGGTGATACCTTTCAGACAAGCTGAAAGAACACAAAAATATCAGAAGTCATTGAAACTACATTTTTTAACAGAGAAGGAAAAAAAAAAGTAATGGTCTTTTTCTCATCTGCAGATTCCTTCCACTGTTAATAGAAAGATTAGCAAAACTGCTTCTTGAGAGCTTTTCCATGTTCTTTAATTTTCACCTCTAAGAGGGAGTAATTGCTTTATTTATCACCATCCAAATTCTCCTTTTTCTTTAGGCTCTGAGAATCTCCCTTTAGTTCACTCTCATACATAAGAGAATGGGATACAGACAGTAAAAAAGCCCAAATAAAGGAGAAAGAATACAATATAACTTGAGGAGAGGAAAACTAAAAATCTGAAGTATCCTTGAGGGAAAGGTTAAGATAAAACTGCAGTATTTGAGAAAAAACCAAAACATTTGAAACTACTCATTATTCTAATACAGAGGCTAAAAATCAACATTAAAAAGGTAAAAACAAAGGAACACCAAGGAACAAAAAAGGAAAACTAAATGAGAGCAAACTAAATCAGCAAAAATATTCTTCAATTATCTTTTTTTTTCTAAACAATAATACATATTTAAAATTTTACACAAACTACAAAATATGACCCTACCATACCCCCCTCAAATGAAAGAACATTCAGACATTAATTTAATCCATAGCAATGAGAGCTGTGCACAATGTTCACCTCTACAATTTGATATTTATGGACAAATAATTTGTGCGCTTGAATTTACAAACTTTTGGACTATGATTCGTAGTAAGTGCTCAGGGAGTGCCTTCTACAAAGGCCACAGGAGGCAGCACAGGTCAAAGGTACCTTATTTCTGCTCAAAAAAAAAAAAAAAAAATCCAAGAGACATGATGGCAAGGCAGAGGAATAAAAGGATGATGGTGAGTATGGATACAACTATCTCGAGGTGTGCTATTCCACACATTATTACTAAAGAAAACTTGGCTTTTGCCCTTTAAATGTACGTTTTACTGCTGATGACTCCAAGAACTAAACTGCTTGGCGAACAGGATCTTCAGATCTCAGAGGACTCCATCTCTGTTTAACATACTAGGAGACTGGAGCAATCAGAGTTATCTTACTAATTTATGAACACTGCTCTAGCTCACATGTCTACAGATACATGTTCTAGAAAAGCTTTCAACACAAATGGTGAGACTGTATCATGCCTTTCCTGGTCCATGTCAGTTAGGGTAAAGATTTACAAACATGGAATACCTCTTGGACACACTTTTCTCCTGAGAGGAAAGCAACTGGCTAGCATATCAAGAAAGGGTAACAGGGCAACATTTAACACATGGTTATTTTATTCTGTTCCCTATGCATTTGTTGTAAAATGAAGAAGCTCAGGTGATAAGCACACAGGTGATAAGCAGTTCTTAATGTTAGAACTTCTGTCTTGAGTGTACATGCACATCAAAAGTCAAGTAACATCAAAAACATTAGCAAGTGACTGAGTTAAGGATCTGTGAAGAAAATTTGTTCTATTCCACTTCATGCCTGGATATGGTGTGATATTGCACCTTTATCTTTTGAAAGAACTAGGCTTGTCCCATGCACACAATGGAGAATACTCTCAAGGCTGTTCACTGTCACTTTTTATCCTCCTCCCTCATTATGGAAGAAAAACAGGCCAGTGCTGGCTAATTTGACCTATGCTTGTGTGTTTAAAGGACTGGATGGATTCTGTCTTTAAAAGATCACAGCATTTCTACAGCTCTTCAAGTGCTGAAAGTACCAACTTTCTAATTTTGATAGTGATAACATTGAAATGCATTTATTCCTCCACTCTGAGATGGGGAAATCAACTCAATTGTGTGACTGAGCAAGAACTTAACTGTTAGCCTTAAAAGCTAGTAGAATTTGAATTAAAATCCAGGGTACCAAACTGAACTAGAGAAACACTGAAAATTAAACAGAAACACTGAAAATTAAACCACCAATCTTTAAGTGTGGATACACAGAAAACAAACAGCATATAATCCATGTCTGCTCCTTAAAAGACCAGTTTCAATGGCTTGATCACTTTCAGAGAAAGAAACTCAGTTTTGATGACACAGTTTTTCCTTAAAATTCCTTGCCTTGTTTCCCTGACAGGGTTCTGCATTTCCTGTAAGTAGGAATACTGAAAAAACCTGCCCTGTTCAGTATGGAACTTTGATTCATTCTCTGCTATCAAACCTGTGTACTGACAGAGAAATGAACAGGCCAGAAAAAACACCAATTACCTTCTCAATGCGAATTAAAGCACATTTGATGCATATACATATGCAGAATTAGCTTTGTGTAAACTATGTGAAGATTTCCTAATTTTTCCACTATTTGATACTTCTACCTCAGGAGACTTCCAGTGTAATTTCTATGTGTACAATCTCATAACCACTTTTATTCTTAAAAAAATAATAATAAAAAAATAAAAATAAATTTAAAAAAAGCATCAACTAATCAAATATGTAACTCTGGCCCACTTACAATCAACCAGATGGACAAAGTGAGAGCCTTCACCACTGCAGTGGTAAGAATTCACCATCAGAACTGGCAACTGAAGGAGGCTATCAGTCCATTCAGACTAGTCAGTAAGATCACAAAACATACTGAGGTAACAGATTGTACAAGCAAGATGCTAAGAAACACTATAAAGAAATTTCCAAGTCTGTTGTATTAAAAATCTAGACTGAAATTCTAGTTTTCTGTGATCTCATAGTTTGGGTCTCCTTATGAAAGACAAAAAACTCAACAGTGAGATCTGAAAACTATCTTCCAAAACCTTGGCCAAAATACTTTCTCTAAGACAAAATGGTATTTCAAAAATTAAAAGGACACAGTGACAAAACATGGAAGAGTAGACAACAGTGGAAGCACTCCTAGTATTTCTTCAGCTTTTGTTCTACCTAAAGGGTCCATTTCTACACAGCACCCCAGAAGGAGATGTCTGTGCATGTAGTATGGTGCGTACATGCATGATGGTCACAGATCATGGATTTTAACATGCTAGCCTCTGGGAAGTAGTACGGCAAACAAGAACTAGGTATAGGAAATGCAAACTTTGGTAATTTTTTTCTATGCAGTGCTTAGGTAATGACAATCTACTATCATCACAGATCTAGTTCCATTAGTCAACAGAATGAGTACGTGAACAGATAACGCAACCATCCTGAATATCTTTGTACATGTCTTAATGATTATTCATTAAATATACTTAAAACCACATATACAGAATGTGATATAACAGCTTTCTCAGGATAAGCACGTATTTTCAGAGCATCTCTTATCACCATACAATTAAAATTAGGAAGGCTTAAGTTGACTCACTTGTCATCAATGCTATTTTGATAATATATGTGCAAAAGTTTATCCTTTATCCAGCTCACTTTCTCTGCAGCATCTTTTCCAGCTTCAGCATGAAGACAATACTTCTTGTATAGCTGGGCAAGACCCATCATAGCTTCTTTCCTTACTCGCCACTTGAAAGGGAAGAAATGAAAAGGAGGTAGGGAAGCAGCTTTGGTAAATAATATCAAATGTGTAAAAATACAGTAAAGACATAGAAGCATGAAAGACAAAACAGCCGCATTCTGACCTCCTACATTTAGACACTTCAAACGCTGAAAAATGCTGTTTAGAGCCTCTAAATGAGAATTTGTAAAGCCTACACATAAGGGGCTTCTTCCCTGTACTATGCAGATTAAGTATTGTCTGTACAGAGGAATCCAGTACTCCCCTGTGCTGAGGAAAGAAAATCTGGGAACTAGTCAGTATAAAAAAGTTAAGTACAGCTTAACATGTATGCCTGAGTAAGTGCCTTCTTGAGCCATGATTTGGAAGACTTCTCTATTCAGAGACAGGCACCAGAGGGGGCAGCCTTCTTTCTCCCCATAGCTTTACACTTGTCTAGACATGGTAGATCCATAGCTTAGGCCTAGCTAAACCTGACAGGGCTTAAACTCTTACACCACTTTCCAGGACAGTGGAAGAGGACCTTTTTGCTGAAGCCTTGAAGTAATAGTTGTAAGGCTCCAACATCCAAGAAAAAGCCAGACTGCAACATCCACAGAAGGAGTTCCTGGGTTCTCATCCTTGCTTTTGGTGGTCACTACTTCATACCTTCATATAAACAGGAAATGTCCCATTATTAAATACTTTAACAGACAAGATCCGTAAGCTCTCCTACACTGACTTGTGTGACAGGAATCATACCAGAATAGGCTGAGGATTAATTTAGAGACAATAGTGTCTACCACTGAATGATATGCACAGAAAGCCTCAGAAGAAAATTGTTTTCCCTCACCATTTAAAAGAAATGTGTGAAAGAGAATTCCAAACTGAAAGAGAGAATTTCTTCCAGAACACACTAGATATCAAATTTTGGCCTTGAACTCCAAGGACTAACAACACTTAAATCATTTCACCCTATCAAGCATAAATGTAGATACTATTATTCACACTGTGTGTAACTTCTTCAATCTTGTTAAACTGAGGGCTTGTTTTAACAACACTGTGAGATATTGCACATTTAATTTCTTAATAGTCTCACTGAGTAACTTCCTCTTCTTGAAGGGCAACAAAAAGAAAAAATCCTGAAGATAACATGGCTTATGTCAGCACAACAGCCTTAGACACCACTAGCTGTTGGAGTAAGCTATATCAACAATGAGATGGAAGAAATATTATAATGCAATTGTATTTTGTTACATATTTCTTAAATATTAAAAACACAAGTAACAGCTCAAGATAGTAATGACTTTGACAGTATACAACACAATACTTTGTTTTCACAAAACAGAAAAATTTTAGATATAGACATTATTGTTTAACTTCTCTGCAGGAATTTGTTCATACCCATTGTGTTCTAAAGCACATTTCAAAGAAAAAGGTCTGAGAGAAACATTTTCAGAAAAGCATTTATATTTTTCTGCATTTGGATATACTCTTCCAACGCAAGCGATAGCTTCACTGATCTCCTACAGAGACAGGAAGGACAGCAAAACTATTGTCAGAAGACAATGCAGAAGGATTGCAAGAAATTATTCTAAAAAATTTAAGCCTAAAATAACAGCAGAGTACTTAATAAAGGGTTATAAGGAAAGGAGGTTTGGATTGTCAATAGGTTTCTGATCATTGAAATTGCTGAAGAGAGTAGAAGTCAGAGCATGAAGAAAGGCAGTTTCAGGAAGAAAATGGGAGGCCCTGGACAGAACCTGTTAGAGAATGTTTTGAGAAACCACAGAAGCAAGTCACTGAACAGGAGATACAGGTAGAAAAAAGGTGCTACTAAAAATTAAAGCTCAAACAGCATACAGTAGGGTAAAAGATGAAGGCAAATGAAAATAAAGGGGAATATAACAATCAATGCCAAAGGGAGCAGATCTAAGAGAAGTACTACTCTGATTTAATTAACAGAAGAATTTTGACAGTCTTGGCTTCCTTGGTTAACCAGCATAATTAAACTTCTTCACTGAAGACTGCTGGGCAGAGTTTAAAAAGCCAACCTGTTACTGAAAGTTCAAGACAATCGCTGACCAGTTGGAATAGCTAACCAATTCCTTCCATAGAGTTAAGAATATCAGAATCTTAAAATCTTTCTCCTTCATCTGGGAAAAGCCACAATGGTTTTTAGGTACACACAGAGAAGGAGGAGTTAAAACTAACACATGCAGCAAAATGAGTAAAGAAAAACAGAAAATGGGAGTCTGTTCCCATGGCTCCTCATTCTATAGCTTTTGACTTCAGCCTGATGATGTGAAAGCCTGTTCTCACAATGGGACTAAGTCTCTAGACCACAAAGGTTCTTGGAAGAAATGGGAACAGAAGCCAGGTGTTAAAACCCTCCTCTAACTTCTTAGGTTCTTAAGGTTACTCCAGTATAAAAGAAAAGTACCTGAACCATTTCTAGAAGCTTTTAATTTTTTTTTTAATGCCTCCTGTAACTAATTATTCTGAAAAGTGAAGACATTGGAAAGACCCTACAGACAGTGCTCCAAAGGAAAATTCCTCAGAACAATTCTCATCAACAACTGGATTCCAGTTTTTGGGAAGCATCTGTTCCCAGAGTTACTTTTCCAACGGGACCAATAAAAATGGATTTGAAAGCTATAGGTGGTGAGGAAATTTGTTTATTGGGGTTTTTTGTTGTTTTTTAATAGCTGTAATCATTGTGCAAATGCCCATGCAGATCAAGTTAGCTAAGAATTTTTTTTAAAAAAACAAAGTACTGCCTTTTACCCTAAAAAAAGTCAGTATGCTATCTTTACTAATACTTTACTAATTAGAATATGGTCAGGAGAAAAAACAGATCACATAAATAGCGTACCAGTTAGCACAATTTGAATGTAAAGTTTTCTAGATTCCACATTGTCTTATGAAGAAAAAAGGCAGAACTGAAGTGACAGGTTAGTGTGTTTAAACAATCAGCATTTTACTTCAGTCTGTTGGACAAATGTTCTTTTTATAGTAATACCTATACTCATTGATAGATGATTGAAGTCCTAAAAAGAATTAGATTAAGTCAAATTGATGAATGAACATTTAGGAGTTTGCAGTAGATTTGTCCAACAGAAACCTGGCTACAAGTGGTAAATGCAGTCAGCAGAAGATAACAGAGTTCTTTAAAGCAAAAGAATAATTAAAATAGCTATAATGCACTATGCTTGAAACAGGAAAAATCCTACATAGAAAATATAAAGACAGTTACATGGACATATCAATGCCCCAAATGGAGAGAAAAACCCTTAAAAAAAAAGAAGCTGAAAGTTTATAAGTCCTTGATACTCACTTTATAACACTAATTATATTTACAAAGACATGCTGTATTATCAAGGTCTACTTCAATTGCTACTTCTTGTAGTCATTTCTAGTCAATCCTCAATTTCCATTTGTCCTCAGGATGTATTTTCATTAAAGTTCTCTCCAGAGACTTTTTATAAGAGAAACATCATCTAGAGATGAAATTATTCTTCACTGATGAGTGCCTGACAAGGCACCTAACCTTGAAATGTAATATATCATCAAACCTATAACTGGTGTGAAATCACTAAGTCAAACACATTAGGAACATTAAGAAGTATTGAGTGGGTTGAAGGCTGTAAGAACTAGCTCCATAGAAATTAGTACTACAGCTCTACAACTGACTGCCTCTTACTGATGATGACATGCTAAAGGAGAACAGAGACATGATGCAGAAGACACAGTAACAATCATCCCATTCTGACTAGGTAGAAATCCCAGTGGGAAAGGGTGGTTACACTAGAAGTCTTCAGATTTCATAAATGACTTTGTGGGCATGTTTGTTTAATGGCTGAAAAGGAAGGAAGGTGGTTTTAATCACTCCTGATAAATGTACAAGGTCAAGCTGCAGGTACAACTAACTGAAGAGCTGCTTTATAATAGTGAACCTACTTAAAATCAGTATTTCTCTATGTCTATATGCAAAGACAATACTCTTTTCTCAAAATCCATTACAGTAACATTCTCATTTTAAAAGGAGAACACAAAAAAGAGACAATTGTTTTAAAATAATTAAAGTAACTACCTAGAATGACATAGGTTATGGAAAGGATGTCCCCTGTCAAAAAGGAACAAAAACAACAAAAATCAACATGGCTACATAGCACAGTGAAGGCTGTTTTTAAAACATCATCCTCCAAAGAGGATGGAGCCATATCCACAAGAGTGGAAACAGGCAAGAGCATGAACTCTGGTAACTTGAAGGTAAATCCTTGATGAAGCACAGCAAAAGTTTCAGAACCAAATTATTAAAAGCGTACTAATTTAACATCTTCACCAAAGCCCCCTGGAGCAGGAAGGCTTCCAGACCCTTTTGTAGGGCTGAAAAACAAACAAGATTTATTCCAGGAGAAAGGTCTGAAGAGGTTTCTTGAAGTGTTATCAGAAGACATTTTAAAACTAATTAATAAAATGAGTGGTAACAAAATCATTAAGACCAGGTGGTATCCCATCCATGACTTCTACAGAAATTTAGAAATGATACACCAAATACTAACTATTCTGTTACTGCAGTCTCTCAATGTACAGAGTGAACACAGCTAATGTGAAAGAAACCAAAAGGTCCCAAGAGGAACAGAGTGCCACTCACCAGAACATCTGAGTTTGAATGGACAAACAAGTTGAAACAAAACAGTAACAACAAAGAGCAGACACTGCTGAAAAATGAAGTTATGGGAATGAGTCATTACACTTTACATAATGGGAAGTTTTGTCTAAGAAAGAAATAAATTTTTATACTGACAAGTGTATCAGTAAAATGCATTAGGATCCCAAAAAAACTTCCAACAAAGTCTCACACCAGAGGAACTTAAAATAAAAATCCTGTTTTTTCCAAAACTGTCAGTTCAGTGCTCATAAATAGCATAAAAGACAAAGAGAATGTTAAAGAAAAAATATAATTAAATAGGAACACAACATGGTGCACATCTTGAATGCCATGGCCAAGTCTGGTCACCTTGATTCCAGTAGGATATAGAAGAACAACCAGAAAAGAAAGATCAGAAGTATGCAATAATAAATTTGTGTGGAAGTTAAGCAGGTGATTCTTTTGCTTGGAAAGCAAAGGAGTGGAAAAGATATGGTTTACATTTATTAATCATAAGTGGGTCAAAGAATATTTATTATTTTACATAATGCAAAAACTACGAGATACCCAGTGAAATTATCAGACAAGTTTAAAACAAACAAGTGAAGATACTTTTTCCACACATGCATTAAACTTGAATTTATTGATGCAGATGCCAAGGATGCTTATAAAGTACAAATAAGTTCAAGAAAAAACTTGATAAATTTATGGAATAAAGTTCCATTGAAAGCTATAATGAACATGATCAAGCAGATTTAAGAAAACCTTAAATCACAAACTGCTGGAAGCCAAAACTGACCACTATGAGAATTTTACTGGGCTATAGGGACATTCGGCCTAAACACGTGACAATACTTACGTTCTTACAATAGGACTGTGTTCCTGACAAGTCAATGATCTTATCTGCTCAACAACACTTGACTGGTACCTCCATAATATGGAATCTACATTAGGATGTTCTGGCAAGAAAATTATTTTTTTCCTTGCAGCATTCTAATTAATAGTCAACTCTAAGATTCTCTGTTTCTGTGTCTTTGGTTTTTTGGCTTTACTTTTACCAAATTATATCAGAAGCAGATATTCCTGAAAATAAAATATTAACACTTACCCGTTTGTCTAGCGTTCTTTCCCTTACAAAGCCAAGCAGCTGGTCATTGACTAAAGAAAGATCTCTCTTGCCCGCAGTAATAATTGTAACAATAACATCATGTCGAATGGCTTCTTCTGGGTCATGTGATCTAACCTTCAAATATTCTGTTACAATCAGAAACAATGAAAAGCTTTGCTTTTTAATGCAGATATGACGTATGCATTTAACATTATTTAATAATGTTAAAACAATAAAGTGCCAGTCACATATTACAACCATATAATCAATTAAACATATAACTGCCTACAGGAAACATCTGTTTCAGCATTTTTTATGTTAAACATTTACAGTTATATAAAAGTGAATAGCTTTTACAGTAACCTCATTTGCAACAAGCAATAAAGTGAAATAAAACTGATTAGAATATATTGAAAATAAAGGGGGGTGGGGTAGGGAGCAAGAAGAAATAAAAAGAGCAGTGACTTTAATTCCCCAAGAGCTAAGAAGGTGTGTTGGGTTTGTGTGTGTCCAACACAGAAGGTAAATAATAAATGAAAAATACTGACAAATGCTGTAGGTTAGCTTGCAACAAAAAAGAACAGTATTTTCAGTTAAGCCTGAAATTCTGCTCATAGTTAGTGTGATGCTGAAGTGAAGGAAGAGACTTCGTAGTTTAGATCAGTGCAATGTCATTTTCTAAACTCAGTGGAAGAGAGTACTGGGGAACACACTGACTGGTTTTGAAAATAAATCAAGATGTTGCACCAATATTTGCTTTGACTTGCCAAAAGTTTCATTAGAATCTGAAATTATTTTAAAACTAATTCTGCAATGGGTAGCTTCTTAAAGATTCACTCTGATAAAATCCACACAATGTCACACACTCCTCTCTTTCTAGTAACTGGTGCTTTGGCAGAAAGCAATTACTCAGTAGTCAGTTCTTCCACCCAGCATCAAGCATGGGACTTGATACATTTTAGTACTATACTGCTATGTACTAAAATAATTACATTCTTCCTTGCTCATTTCTTGAATTATTCTAAACCCCTGTATAAGCATCTCACCAGTGAGGTCTTTTGCTAAGTCTGGATGGTTCATTAAACAATGACTGGCGAATTTCACACTCTCTAATCTCACAGGGACATGGATATCATTGAACCTAGAGGGACAGAAGATGATGAATGTTAATTTTTAATTAGCCTTGCAAATCAAGATTATTCTCTATGTAGCAACACGTGTTGATAGTATGTTCCATTAACTGCTAGAATACTTTTATATGGCAAAGTAACGCAATAGCAGTGTTTTGAATTTATCTCCATAATGTATCTCATACAAATTTTTATGTTATCTCTTGCAAAATTAAGTCAGGACTTAAATGACAGGATCAATGTGCTATATGCAGATGAAACGTTGACCCAATGGATTTTGTCCATAATTTTCCATATAGTGTCAACTGTGTGTGTGCATGTGTGTGTGTGTGTATATATATATCTACACACACACGTATGAAATTATAAAAATATAAATCGTCATATAACATGTACCATTTGAAAACATTAGCTTTTTAAGAAATGATAAATTTCTATATTTACTTAAAAGGAAGCATCTCTTCACTCAAAAAAGGCAAATGCCAAATAAAACAGATATAGTTGCAGATAGAGCTGAACAGTGTAAGACTTCAGACACTGATGGCCTATCTATTGTGTAATTTCTGCTACGTATGCAAGGTGCTATCTATCTAACCTGTATTCCCATAGCTGACAGCAATATAGCAGCAGTTCTTCAGGCTTATTCATTCTAAAATATAACTGTCTGCAATTCTCTGCTCAGAAGATTTAACAAAAGAAATTGTTCAACTGCAAACAAACGGTTACATCCTCTAAAACCACAACAAAAATACAATCCCATCAGAAAATTCTGAACAAAAATAATAGATATTTAGAATTCTATCCTTATCTCTCTTACCGCCCAAGAAAGCACTGCCAAAGAGGACGATTTTGTGTGGCCAGATCAGAATCTTTGGAGCCAAAGAGTTTAGCCAGAAGTCGGACAACAGCCAAACGTTCTTCTCCATCATTGCTCTAAATATCAAAACATGAAAAAGGAACTGTAAAACATTATCTGTAATATCTTAATAATAATTTCTGGCTTCCTTTTCATTCTGCTATTATAAATTAGATTAAAAAGTGAGTTGGAAATTATTTCTGATAATCCGCAATCTCCCTAATTAGTTTATTAGATACATGTAAGTAAAAATATGCAAATATCTATTAAGTTAATATATTACAGCCACTGAAGAAATGGTTATGCTTTGAAAGTGCCTTCTCTTTCGGGAATAGAAACCCAGGCACAGTAGTTTGAATAATGTATATCCCTAACAATTTCAACAATGAATGATCTTATTTTTGCTTTAAAACATACTTTAATACTATTTTATGTGTTTAGACATCAATTAAGATGTTATAAACAGATTTGCAGTAATAAGAAGATATATCTAATTTCACCAAATACATATTTCTTGGTTATTTTTGTTTGTTGCCACCATACCCTTTATGTACATGCACACACATAAAATTATTTCTCTTTTCTACTTACAATCTTATGAAAGACAAACAGCTTTTTCATTAAAACCAACCAAACCCCCACAACAGGATAAATTAACTATTTCCAAGGATTCAAAGAAGTCAGCTGACTCATTAGCTGCTTCTGACAAATCTGAGAAAATACTTGTAAATACTTCCTATTAAAGCATTATTTCACAAAAGAAAATTCTGCAGGTCAATACTGAAGCTGACACACCTGCATTTCATGAGATAAGCCAACCACAGCCCAATTACTTTATAAATTGCAGGTGAAATCCAAAGATTAAGTACGTACAACTTTTGCAATAGCTCATATGAATACATCGTTATGACCGTATATTTTGTGTGCGTAGAACATGTTTGCAAGCACAGAAAGCACACAATTGTATACAACTTTCCAGTGTCTTCCTTTTATTTTAAAGAGAAATGTAATACTAAAGTAATAAATATAATTTTGTTATCCCTCCAGCTCTGCACTCTTATTTCCACACAAATTTAATTACTTGTACAAAGCTACCCTGTAACCTACCTTCAGCTTGAATTCGAGCTGCGGCATGACAGACAGCAGTAAGTGAGGATCTATGGCAAAAAGCTCTTGTATCAAGTCAAACACATGTTCTGATAAGTCGCTTACTGAAGACTTGCCCAGTACCAGAACCTGGTTAAAAAACTAGAATACAAACAACATTATTTAGCAGATTTTCCTTCACCAATGCAAACACTATTTTAAAAAATTATTTTAACACAGTATCATTAATACTTGAATTCTAATGGAAGGTACTCAAATACACATTTTTTCACTATATCAAAGCATTTCACCCTTACAGTTTTGGTTCAAGCAAATTAAAAGCAAACAGCCTTCATAGTTGAGTTCTATTACTTCCATCAGGACTGATGAACTAATGGTAATCTGATAATTTAAAATATCAATAAACATCTCCCCAGCAAAATTAACAGGTAATAAAAGAATTATTAATTTAAAATGCATATTCATCCAGTAGAAGTTGAGAAAAAAATTTAGTATCTTATTTTGAATTTTCTTATAATTTAAAACCAACCCAAGTTGAAGATCAATAGATGTTGAAAAAAAAGCTTCTCTACTTTTAAATCAATTTTAAAGAATGTCAGATGATGTTATGTGTTTTGTGATATTTGATGGTAATGTATCAAGGTTATTAGCGATCTAACAAAAAAAAACCTAAAGTAGCTTAAAATATGAATGATTTCTTTTGGATTTGTTAAATTTTACTATGCTTTATATACTTCCTATTAGATATGTGGGTTGATATTAATATTTTTTGAGCAGTGAAAATGCTACAAAGCTATTACACCCTTGTATAAGAAAGTAAGACGAATAACATTAAATCAACTCAAAGGTTGCCCTGTGCACTCTCCCGTTTCCAGCTATGGCTAATTACAAAAGCTTAAAAAAACAGGGGAATTGGAAAGTGGTACTTGTTAGTGAGACACCTTGATATTTTAAATACTTACCGATTAATCTTTTATTAATTTGCTCAATTCCCTTTTTAAACTATGCTGATTTTTAAGAATTCTATTGGTTCCAACACCAAGGAAATGCAACAGAATGGACCAGACTACATCCCCCACAAGACTGTAGCAGCTTTTTTCATAGGTAGAACATACAACACTGACATTCAACAAAAGGAATTAGAGTAGAAGAAAGCCTTGTAAAAAATGCAATTCTTGTACTCATTATGACTACAACAAATTTAGAAATATCTATAAAGAGCCAGTAGCTTGAAATGCTTCATCCTAAAGCGTGGTATTAAATGAGGCTGTCTGGTTGCCAGAAATACAAAGTACTAACAATTCCTTTTGTTGCAACAGGATTTTTTTGGTGGTCACCTATTTTCACTGCCTAGATTTGGGCTTAACTTTAGAAAGAGACGGGTAAAAATTAATTTCCTCTTCACTTACTTGAAACACCTCACATACTTCTTTAACAACAAGTTAAAAATATCCCATTTGGAAAATAGTATTCTTGTAGCTGCATTATAAAATGTGACTTTTATAAACAATATTTTAAAACAAACAAACAAATCTCTGATAAATCAAGACAGTAACAAGAACATTTGTGACTTGTAGGTAACATGGATTAACTAATTTACATACATTGGCAATACACGGTTCAATGGTCTGGACGGTCCTTTTCAACAGGACTTTTGCAAGATCAAATGCTTGTTTATTAAGGTTCTGAAATAAAGAAAAAATAATAATAAAATTTTAAAGATACAAACTAATGCAGATGACTTGGCTTTTCGTTCTCAACCTTAAAAAATCATGACTTTAGAAAAATACATTTTACCACCAATCTGTTTGTTTTCAAAGTTCAGTTATGTTAATTCCACAACTACAGACTTAGAAAAATCTTAAAACTAGTTTTTAACAGACTTAAAAAGAAACCTACCCCAAACCCATCACTTCCTGTATATTGTTCTAAGACTTTCTCACTCCAGTGGTTACCTTTAGCCTTGCATTCACATCTAGAAAAATGTTCATGTGCAATCACATTAAAAGTTTTGAAGAAACATTACCACACCTCCATATTTTGACAATTAACATGCACCAAATTCTTGCCACTCAAAAATGAACAAGTCTAACTTATTATTATGTGATTCTGTTTCCCCCTCACACACTAATTCAAGGTATATCCTGTAGCAAAGTTCAGCCTTGTCTAGAGGGTAAAACTGTGAACTGACTTCTCCATGGACTGTACTTTATGCTCTGAGATAGCCCATAGAAAGCACCTACAGTTGGGCAGAGTTAGCTGCAAACTTTCCAAGTAAACGTTTGATTGCAACCTAACAAATCTGAACATTGCTTTTATTACTCTCGAGCAAGATAAGGAATGTAACTGCACATCTGAAAAATGTGATTGTTCAGATCTGCACAAATCCAATATGCAGTATCTCATCTGGGATTAATGCAGCTAGAAGAGGAAAGAAAGAGGAAAAAAAAAAAAAAAGGAAGGTGGATTTGCTGCTTGCCCTGAAAATTACAAATGACTGCAGACAAAATATAAGTGAAGCCGAAGGATGACTGATTCTTGGAAAGAAAGTATTTGGCAAGTCTGCATTGAGAATGACTCCCCTCATGTTCTTTTAGCTGATGGGATGACAAACCAAAAGACAGTTCATCAGCTGATAGGAAAGAGAAACAAATGGCCAAAGGCTCAAACAAGTATCTCCTCAGTCACCATAGCACTAAACTGATGTCTCATTACAGAAGACACTCAGATAAGTATAAACTCTTCTTAAACTCGAAATAAAAGTTTATCTCCAAACCAGATCATGATCAAAATCTTGTTGGCAGGTATGTCTGTATTAAACTAAAGGACTGCCAGCCTCATACAGAGAATATATTTTATGTGGATCTTCAATACAGCTTCAAAGATTTCTTGCAATGAAGTTGTGTTGTTTTTTTTTTCCCTAGACAGCCTCACCAGAGCCAAAAAAACAAAAGAACCCTCCCAAAATCATCACACCCAAACAACAAAAAATGCACAAATCAAACAAAAACTAAAACAACAGGCCAAACACAAAAAAATCCAAGAAACCCCCAAAGAACCAAAACAGCCTATAAAATAAATATATATTGATAAAATAAACAACTAGTAATAAATAATAAATTTAAAAATGACCAGTCTTTTAGAAGAAAATAAACCCCTTGAAAGTCTGGATTGGCCATGCTGTAGAGGATGTAGAAGAAAATACTGATTTTAAATACATGAAATATATGTTTTTAAGGAACAACCTTGACCATAAGAGCATGAAAAAAAGTTTCCAATAAATAGCACTGGCTTTAAAGTTAATAAAAAGAACTACAGTTTGATGTCATAGGCAGTCTGAGCAAAATGTGACATACCATATTGCTACTGGAAACCTAGATTTACTAAAGGAGAGACACATTAGCACACACAGAGAGAACAATGTACAGTAAAACCACTTTACTGATAATGGAGGTACAAATGAATATAACTTAGATGCTGAGGTAGACACTACTACTTCATATCTAGGTACTGGTATATTTCTCTTCTTTATTGCAGTAAACTGTTACATTGTGTAAGACAAACTAAAAACAAACAAACAAACAAAAACCCAACACAAAAAACAAATCACCTCCCACAAAGGAATAGAATGCATTATCCAAAGTAAATATTTTAGTTCCTTTACAAAGATGAATTTCCACTAAGCATATAGCCACACTGATATTTTTATTATGACACAGCAGAGAATGACTCGTATTCAACTGCTCCACACAGACATAAAAGCACTGTTATTATATGTTCTCTACAAGAAAATAAACTGTGCTTTTCAAGCTATGGTGCTTCTGATTTACATACCCAAGGACAAGCAATTAATATAATCACAGAATTTCCTAGGAGATCTGTTCATGAAAGAAGAACATAATTACTGCAGTCAAACTCTGCTAGGTAGAGCAGGCAAAAGAAGTTTGGGCTTTTGGGGTTGGTTTTTTTTTTTTCTTTTTTAAATTGCCATGGTAAAGCAGTAGGGTAAGTCCTGTTGTTACAGGAAAGAAACAAGTTAAAATTAGATCAAAATACTGACCAAAGTGAGATACAGAGGACTGACTATAGGATATTATTTGCTTAGTCATGATGGCCAAGAGACAGAAAGGACTGGCCACCAGCCTAGAGGCCAAAATACTAAATATGTACTACAATCTAGTATTTACACCAAGTTAACATCCCTCCCTCTCAAGCCTTGCTTGAGAATTTCCTTCATTAGGCAAAATTATACGAATAAGCTAACAATGTTAATAATAAAGGATCATATTCACTTTCACTTTGCCTACATCAAATAGTCACAACACACCGTTCCGTTGCACAAATTTACCAGGTCTTTTCATCCTCAGCCCACCATTGTTAATAGCTTCACACAGCACCTGACATACACATCTCCACTCCTCTATTTCCACTCCTGATCTCTACTGCCTATAATTGATTAAAAACAACTTACAAAGAACAGTATGTTTTCAAAAGGACTCTTTTTCTCTTGTTATGAATACGAGGCCTCCCCTTCTGTTAGCAGTTTTAATAACACATAATCTCACTGCTGTCAATAAAAATGAGTTGATAGAATGATATTCCCACCTGATGGTCATGACAGAAGGAATGCGAACTGACCTCAGACAATAGATACTTTCATACACTCACCAAGATTTCACAGGTAAATACAATGGCCGTGGCTTAGTCACTCCTGTGCCATACATTTCCATTAATTCTCCTTCTTCAGGTAACCAAAGGAATAATCCCTGCTTTTGCATGCAAATTTAACCTTAATTATGTAGTCGTGGATGGAGCTGCCTTAATTTTGTCATTATTTTAAATTAATAAGTGAACAAACAGAAACACATACTTGGTAATCAGAGTACAGTTCACTTACTGTAGGTTGTAATTAAAACTTATTGTTCTCCATAGAATTTTCAGCAAGAAGTACAAGTGCTTTAGCAAGGGAATTTTCTTGGTTACCAGCTTGGATCTCACTTTCCCTGATTTCATGGCTAAGGTTTACTCTCCTATCTACTTTAGTTAGCCATTATGGTAAAGGTACTTCAAAAGCTCAGCTGTAGACCAGACAATAAGGCACACAATGAAACCAGTACAGCATCAGTGACAGTTCATGAAGCTGACTGTAAAGGGGGAGTCTCTGAAAAACCTGTCGAAGTAGCTGTGTAGATGGGTTAAGACAACACCTGCATGACAGCAGCAATCTGCTAGGAGGGGCTCACATAAGACTCCTCTAGGAAAAGGGAGGGTCACTTATAGGTAAGTTTAAGGGATGCTGGACTCTGTAAAGAGCAGAAAGATTATGGAACTCGTTAAAGAACATGGTGCACTAAAAGCAACCAACTAATTAACTAAAAAAAAAAAGAAAAGTAGGACTACACTTCAAGTAATAATTAGGTTTTATTAAAAGAAAAGTCTAAAGGGGGAAAGACATCGGGAAGAAAAAAAACCCAACAACTCAACGACTAGGGAGGTGGGGGTGGAGGGAAGTCTGACTGGCAAGCTAAGGCAAGCAGCAAGCCTCCAGTTCTCCCCCCCCTCCCCACTCTTCACCCCCTCCTTTAAAAAAAAAACAAAACCAAAACATCTTTTTAATTAAAAAAAATCCCAACAAACCCAATACCAACCAACAACCTACAGCCCTTAAGATATAATGTGTTCCTATTACACATTATATTTGCTTGAAAATACTTTATTTCTGTTTCAGTACACAATTCCTCTGGTGGCAAGAAGTCAGAATCTCTTAGTACTGAATAATCTAGACACAGCTAATGAACAGCACCAAATAGTTCCCAAAGGACATTTTCAATCCACTGTTACAAAGCTGGGGGAAGGGGGAAGCAGTTGTGATGGCTAAAGTGTTTGGAGGGATAAAACAACAAGCAAATGGCAATAAAAATTATTGTTATAATGGTATACTACTATAATATTTTACTTTGCTGACCTTGTGTGCAGGAATGAGGTTAATCAAAATCGAGTCCAGCAGCTCCTGAGTTACTCCATCGCCTTCCATGATGATAGAACTCATCAAATCCAGCATATGCATTTGTACCTTCTGGTTGTGGCTATTACTAAGATTATAAAGAATATTATCAATACTAAATTTTCAGACCCTGACAAATATTAACAGTACTGTTAAGAAACAATGTCTAATATCTTCCAGCTTGCCCTCTCTTACGCTCTCCACATCTCAAAACTACTTTATGTGCCTTTCCTCTCTTACAGGAAGCTTCAAAAATCTAGAACACCTTAACTTTGCTTTAAGAAGTTAAATAGAGCAAAAAAGAAGAAAATAACAACCACAGAAATACAAATGTGGATAAATGAGTCAGAATGAAGTATACTGTTGTAACATCAACAAGAAATTTTAACACTTCTACTTTTAGACACATATTGTCAGTAATTCACACTCATTTGCTTTCCCTGCATCTCCTCGTTTAGAAGAATAGAGACTTGTTCTAGTCAGATATATTTATCTGTAGACTATACAAGGATCCAGTCTACCCCTGAAACTGGTATTTTGACAGTTTAATATAATTGAAGCAATTCAACTTACTTGATAACTGAAAAAAGAGTCCTAAAAAGCTGAATAAAAATTTCATTGCAATCTTCCAACTCAAAGCAGATGTTGTAAGATTTAACCCAAGCTAAATTCTAAAACAAAAATAAGATATTTAGGATGTTACAACTTCACATTAAGTCACATAAATATAATAACGCTAGTTACATTTTTTTATTTAAGGAAAAATATTATACAATAGATTGTAAACCCTTGGGGAAAGAAACTGGATATTTGCTTTGCACATGAAGAACTCTTAACACATAGGGGTTTTGCAATATACATCCAGAAAAAAATTAAATATAGAATAATCTGATTTCACGTACATAAAAGCAGATTGACAGAAATTGTTAATGTAAGTCCATGGCTATGAAACAATAGTTTTAAACATCAATAAAAGGTTTACAAGCAAGATAACTGTTCCTAAATGCACATTAATAAAACCCCCACACTTCTTGTCAAGATTAAGTTTTTCTAATATTTTTAAACCAAAATCTTATATTCCTTCTCCCATCATGAATATAAGTAGATTTGCATTTTAATCAGCATTTGAAATTCTCTCTTGATGAGGCAATATAACCTTAAGAGTGCATGATACAAAAAGCAATGTATAGAACTGTAACATAAAGACTAAATGTTAATAAACACCAATAGTTTAACATGTTCTCAACTACAGGCTGCATAAACTTATTAAATACAAACAGAATTATAACTTCTAAAAGATTGAATGAGTATGGTGTAATTTAAAAACAAAAAACAAAGAAATTTCCCATGGAAAACTGGCAGATCTGGAGAAAGACTGATTACATTTCTTAGGCTTACAGAGCAAATATCATGTACTGAAAGTTACAATTATTGTGTTACCTCTAACAAGTAAAAGTATCTGTTAAATTGAGGGCTCTTCGTGTCCTCCAAGCCTTTTAATTGTCTTGTAATAAACAAGAATATGTCCTGTCAAAAAACAATAAAGTGTTTACAAGCTTGATTCAGCAGGGAATAAAAATACAACCCTTTCATAGTGACACCTCCCCACTTTTACAAACCCATGATAAGAGAACATGAAACTGTCTTTTTCAGGCACAGACAGAAGGCTATCACCAACACAGATACTGGTTATCTAGCATTCCTTTAGAGATCTCTGGCCCTAAAAGTATTACACTGACTCACAGGATTAAAGCAACATTTCTCTCATAAAACTGAACATCAGCATAAATGTGAGTAAAATATTTTTTTCAAATATGTTTTTGTTTTGGTGGGGTTTTGAGTTTGGTTTTTGTTGAGGGGGGGTGGGGTGGGGTTTTCTTCTCAGCAAGAGAATGAAGCAGGAAGAAAGCCTTTATTTTACAAACCATTTTACCTTAAGTTTGTCATGGGAAGTATATGGAGCTTCAGGAGCATAGATACGAAAGATATCTGCCAAGCAACATGCTACAAGGAGGCGCACATCTTTATTGGGATTCCTGAGGAAGAATTCAGATGCAAGGTGCAAGGCTAATGGGAGATACTGCTGCTTCTCATCCTCCGAGTCCTGGTCCATATCCATGAAGGTTTTTACCACCATCTAAAAAACACAAGGAAAAAAAAAAACCCAAAACATTCAAGTGCTTTCTGCTTTTATTCCTAATTACTAAACGATACTTTCTAAAAGGGTGCAGTGTTATCAATATGTGTTCCACAGCATAATCACAGTACTACATTTTTTTTGTAAGGACAAACCTCAGAAAAAGACAGATGTTAAACTGATACTTAAAGGCTTATTGAACTTGGTATTTTAAATTAAGACACTGAAAAATGCTTTGCAACTCTGCTTATTTTGCCTATCCTAACCTGAGGTGCAGCACAGAAACTGCTGCACACCGATGAAGTTAGAGATGGCAGCACCTCTTCATCAAAGCAGTCCTAGGCCACTTCAGAGCGAGGACTTGCCTCACTATGGACAGCATGAGGGGCTGCGAGCCATCTGGGCTAACACAGAGGCCACAGCATACTGCAGCTGCGTTAAGAGCTATGCGCCAAGACTTGAGAGGAGCCTAAGAGGCCAGTCCTACACTTTGCCTGTGTCAAGGCAGAGATGAAGAACTACTTTACATAAGCACAATCCTTTTATCTCTTTTAAATAAACTAGATATCAGGTAAGAATTTAATCCCTCATGTAAAATATGTCTAATGTAGCAGATCTACTCTTTCTGCATACTCAGAACTGCATCTATAGCCTTCTCTATATAATGAAAAAAAATCAACTATGTGTTTTCCTTGTTTCATCTAGCACAGCTAAGAACTACTAATTCCTACGAAATGCCACCAAAATTGTTTCTTTTTAATTATTATACAACCCTCTGTTTATTGAAACATCTCAACATAATGATTTGGCAAAACTGAAAATGAAATTTAGTTTGAAGAAATAAAAAGCTGCAAGTTTAACTTTTGGAACAGGGTTTGTTAAAGGATGAGGAGGAGTTCCAGGATGTCAGCACAGAACCGAGAGATGTGCCACAGATTCTTAGTATGACCTGGGTCAAATGGGTCTTTGTGTTGCATTTCTCCATGTCACTTCAGCACCCTTAAGAGTTAAAATTGTGAAGGACAGTCGTACTGCACACCAGTAGGATGCAGGATAACCATTACACACACAGTATACACAGGACACACATTAAACATATAAAGCACAGAACGATAAATCTTGATGGGTCAAATTCACCTCTAGAATATTAACAGTAAAACACAAGAGGAAATGGAGCTCACACAGCTAATCAACACATCTCTTACCACAGTTCTTATGTTATCAAGTCACTCAAACAATACTAAGGCAGTTCTTCCCTTATTATGGAAGCATGCCCTCACTTTCAACAAGAAAACACTATCTTTCAGCTTTACCTCCTCCCTGAGTTTTGGAACCCAGTTTTAAACTCAGTAGACCTGATAAAATAAATGTTTGACAGCAACCTTTCCTACAGTACATTACCTAAAAATCCTCAATTTCTATAAAGTAGATACAAGTACATTACTTGGTGAAGCAACTTATAGTAAAAAACAAAAAATCAGGAAAGAAACAGAGAGGAAAAAAAAAAAACAAAACACGCCAAACAGAATAAAAGAGAATTTTACAGCCACAGCCCATAAAAATCTGAATTCTACCTGTATTAGCCTGTTACCTTAAAAATATTCTTAAGCTATGTTTTCAAGCACTAGCTGTAAGGACAAAACCATCCTTCTATTGACAGCACAGGTCTGTCTGCTACAGTGTCATAGATCAGCTGTCCTTCTTAGATACCAGAATTAAAAAACCAGTAACATAGTCTTTAACATAGTCTTTAAAACCTACCAGATTATTTTAATAATAAAGGTTTAACAAACAAACAAAAAACCAAAACCCCACAGGACCACCACACCAAAAACCACCATGATGAAAAAAAAACAAAAACAAAAACAAAAACCAACCCCCAAACCACACACACTCTGCTGGTGGCAGAACAAGAAATAATGGCCTTGACTTTCAGCATGGGATTCAGGTAACTATTACCAAAGGTTCTTAAGAGCAAGGGAGACAGGACTAAAAGATCTGTGGATCATAGAATGGTTTGGGTTGGAAGGGACCTTAAAGATCATCTAGTTCCAACCCCCCTGCCATCAGCAGGGACACCTTCCACTAGACCAGGTTGCTCAAAGCCTCATCCAGCCTGGCCTTGAACACTTCCAGGGAGGGGGCATCCACAACTTCTCTGGGCAACCTGTTCCAGTGTCTGACCACCCTCAGTGAAAACCTTCTTCCTAGTATCTAATCTAAACCTGCCCTCTTTCAGCTTAAACCCATTTCCCCTTGTTCTGTCATTAACTGCCCTTATGAAAAGTCCCTCCCCAGCTTTCTTGTAGCCCCTTCAGGTACTGGAAGCTGCTATAAGATCTCCCCGGAGCCTTCTCTTCTCCAGGCTGAACAGCCCCAACTCTCTCAGCCTGTCCTCATAGGAGAGGTGCTCCAGCCCTCGGATCACCCTCATGGCCTCCTCTGGAAATTTAGCAAATATATTTCCTAAACTGTACTGTAGTCATAGCTCCCAGTCTTTGTATATTTACTGTAACTCCACTACATTTTGCAGTATACAAGTTGTGTGATGCTTAATAAATATTGATAACATCTTATGAAGAACTGCTCATAATTGGTTCATAAATTTTTTCATAGTTAGAATTGTTCAGCCATACCACTGCAATACCAGTATTGTGACAGCAGTAAATTGATATATTAAAAGAATCTGCAAATGAAACTGAAAACCTGAAATAAACTACATATACAAAAGACTAAAGACCCAAATAATGTAAAATTTTAAATTCTTTTTAAACCCAAACTGGAAACTACTCATTTAACTAGTGATATACATAAATGCAACAATGAGGGAATATGAAAAAGCAAGTAAGCCCAAAAAAATTCAAGGCTGTGAGGGACTAGTGGGACTTAAAAATACAACTGCAGATAGCAGACATTAATTGCTTCTGCCAGACAGACTTTAGTTCAATTATTTTTTCCAAGAATCTGCATGTTAAAAAAAAATCTTCTTTACTTCTTTAGTTGTTCATATTATAGGTACTCTCTTAAAGCAAATTACAATCAAGATGTCATCTGATCCATCCTAACTACCCTTGTTCTAATTGCAAAAAAAGCCCAAACCAAACAAAACCCCACTCCAATTCCTCTTTGTATTAAGGTTTTCATTTTAGGTCTAAAAGGAGTCTCAATTTCCCAAGGTTTTGATTCAACCACTACACAAATATTTCTCTAGCAGAATGAAGTAGTTATTTCAGGGTTAGGTATTAATTATTATCATGCTAAGTTGTTTCTTATTCCAGGAAAAAGTGACTAAACCCTAACAGGACCTCAGTACCTCTTCAAATTACAGTACTATTGTCTAACTGAAGCCTTGCTGTACAGTCGAAACAACCCTAGCTAGAGCACTAATACTCAATTATATAAAACCCTACAGACTTAGTAGCTTCCACCACAAAAAACTGTTACTCTCCTCTGCACAAAAAGCAGGAGACAGAACAGTATTATTTGAACATATTAATGTAACACCATTCATTCTTTTCCAAACAATTAACCACTCAAATTAAACACTAATTGTAGGCAAACGTAAACAAAACACAGCCATTCACAGTTATTATTAAATTCATTCTGCATTGCTTTGATGATCCAATGCATCTCCATTAAGTCATCACCATACTGGCACTTGAGTTACCTTGCAAAAATAAAAGTTTTAAGACTATTCTAGAAATTTTCTTATTGCCATTTATACCATAGTACCTTGAAATTCTAATTATCAGAGCAAGGTGGTACTCTCCCAGGCTCCGCAAACACATAAGGGAAATGCTCTGATTTTAACATTGGAGATGGCACAGAAATGCAAATGCCTTCATTTAAACTAGCCAGAATAACCGTTAAATTAAGAGTGCTAAGCCACTCTTAGCACATTACAAACATATTGAAAATTAAAGAATTTAAAGCTTTCAGGGCGGTGTCCATCCGACTGCATAAAAGCACAGGCTGTGCAAGCCAGTCACTCTGGGTTACCCTTTCGCCTGCTGGACAGAAATGCTCAGACCGTGACCGAATCCAAGCACAGATGTCTATGATGACAGCTACAGACAGGAGCTCGGTTTTGCCCTGGAACTGCCCAATTCTCTGCACTGACCACAAAAGCAGCTCTGTGCGACCAGATGCCTGAGATGAGGAGAGAACTCTACCTGCAGCTTCTTCTGAGACTGTCAGCCTTTCAACTGCATTGAAACATACACCAGAGGTTGCCAAAGTGTTGTTCAGTCTGCTCCCACCTCATACACAATTGACATGCAGCCTGTTTTCAAAGACAGTAAATCAGCACAGTAGCTTGCCCTTACACGACTCAGCTGCATGTGGCTCTTCTGCAAGACCTATACCTCGGATGGCAACACTAACTTTTGCTGTTCCGATCTTGATTTGTGTTTATTGACCAAGTGGATTTAGGTGCATAGTTTGTTGGATAAAGAAGCTCAGCTACTGCTGAAACATACTGATGATTCCAGTATTATACAGAGGAGAGCTATATGTACACAAATAGAGGTCAGGATAATTGGAGTAGATAGAGAAAAAGACTCAAAACAATGCATACAGAGAGGAAGAAGCAGGCAGAGGTAGGAAAGCCTGGCTCCAGCTGGCAGGACAAACACAAACCTCCAAGCTAGTCACAGCATAGGGAAGGTGTGTGCAGGTTGTGTCTGTTTTACTGTTCTTGCAACAGCTTACTCACAGTATTCCAAAGAAGTAACATTTAACCACCTTTGGCTTGAGAAAAGATACGGGAAAGATAATCAATATTTAAAAATTCACCTTGCAATCATAGAAGAAGAAACGTAACAATTGAGATAATTTTATACTGTTATTGGAATAACGTTAGAAGTTAACTTCAGTATTAAGATTAAATACAAAAGATATTTGGAAGTAAAACTTCCCCAGATGGATGTGAGCCCAGCTGACTTCTCCAGAGCTTGGGCATCACAGGGAAAGACATCAAGAGAAGGCTGAAATCAAGGGAC